GGCCCCGAGCCCTAGTACGATCCAACTCCATAGGGACGGGAGCCGGAGGTGCCGGGACGGGGGCGCGGGCCGCGGGTGGCGCAGGTGCGGCCACCGGGCGGATGGGGAACGGAGTTGCCGAACGGGCGATAGGGAATGCGCCACGCGGAGCCCCCGAAGGCGTCCGCGGGGTGGTCCCTTTGATGAGCTTCGCCCGCACCAAGGCTTCGTATTGGCGGAAAGCCCGAGTGCGCCAGCCCAGATAGTCACGGAGGTCTGGGGGTCGTTCAAGACGTGATGCCGTTGTTGATCAGGGGGTCAAGTCCGTGGCGGTACTTGGTCACCTTAACCAACGCGTCTTCGAATCCGGCGAGGTCCATTAGGTCCTCGAAGTCGTCGGCGTATCCGTAGACATCCCGCGTTCCCATGTGATAACCCGCGCTCTCCAATTTGGCAAGCGCAAGGTCCTGCTCGTTCTCCTCAACGAACCGAAGGCGAAACTCGGAGAGGAATAGGTTCCACCGAGGGAAGGGGAAGGGGGTTTTGCTCCCATGACGCTCTGCCCACTGCTGAGCAGGCCCCTCCGCCATATAGGACATGGCGTAGCGGACGGCCTTTTTCTTCGCTCGGCTCTCCGTTGACCACGAAGGCCTCCAGGGCAAGCCGAGCGTAAGTCTTGACCGCGTATAGGAAGGCGCGGCCGCGTTTGCGATCTCCGTTAAACGCAAACGGAGGGTTTGGTCGTAAGACCAGTTTTGAGGCGACAGTAATATCACCAAATAACGCATCCGCGTCGGGGGCATTCGGAGATGCCGAAGGTGGTTCGGGAGCTGCCGAAGGTGGTGCGGCAGCGGAAGCCTGGGAAGCAAGGTGGGTGAGGATATTGGTGAGGTTGTCTAGTTTCGCCTCAAGTGCGTCCATGCGCGCGTCAGCATCCGGAGCAGCTCCGGTGGACATAGCAGGCGTAAAGACGACAAGAGCAGAGGAGGAGGGGTCAAGTGGCAGGGGCGGTGACGAGGGGGGTACGGACTCGTACTCCGAGCCTGAATCAGCGCCAAACCTGGCAATCTTGACCGGTTAATCCCGTAGAGAGTTTCTTCTGCTGTAAGGGCAACCCTGGAGACTCCGACGAAAGCCTAGCAGGGGAGGATCCAAAGCGTGAATAAAAGCTACGGGAAATACACGGAGGGACCGACCTAGCAGGGGAGGATCCAAAGAGAAGAAACTCTAAGGGTCCGCCTGCTAGGGCGCCAACTATATACTGGTCGTCCGTAACTGCCGACATAGAGCGCAGAAGGCCTGAGCGGCGTCGCAGGCTCTGTCCCAAGGTGATCGTTGGGAGGGTCTTGACGGATCGGTGATTGTGCGGGCGAAGGAGGCCGTGGACGATGGTCGGGGTGGGTCGGAGCGTCCGAGGGGGCGCCGGTCGGATGCGCCTCGGATGCGTTCGGAGGGTCCGAAGGCCGAAGCGGGGGTTCCCCTGACAATCATATAGTTTCCCCCAGCAGAGTTTCCCCAAAGTTCAAAGTCTTCCTCTTCTTCTCCCTCTCTGGTTGTGCTGTAGCCTTTGGTTGCAGTTAGAGCAGTTTGAAGGGCTCTTGCTTTTCTTGTTCTTTCTCACACCAGTGGGAAAGCTTGTCATTATGTCAGCAGAGTAGCTTGTTCAATCTGGTGCTTCTGTCAGGGGAACCCCCCCTTTCGGCGCCTCAGAGACATGTCCGATTCTGGTCCGATTCCGATGGCGTCTCCGGTCCGGCCCTCCATCTCACCCGCACAATCACCAATCCGTCAGTGCCCTCCCAATGGTTGCCCTGGGACCTCGCCTGCAACACCGCTCAAGCCTTCTGTGCCTGACAGCGGCAGCTACAGACAAGCAGTATATAGTCAGCTACCTAGCAGACGGACCCTCAGAGTTTCTTCTCTTTGGATCCTCCCCTGCTAGGTCAGCCTCCTTTGTATTTGCTTACCAATGTTCACGCTTTGGATCCCCCCCCTGTTCGGCCTTGATCTCAGGCCTCCGGGGTTGCCCTTACAGCTTCAAGTACATATACTCAGTGTTTGTTTATTGCGCTCAGAAACTGAATTTAGGAACTAGAAGGAACCATATAGGAACTAAGGAACACATAAAGGGAGAGATCAGGAACAACTACCAAACATGGACAAACAAGACCAAACAAGCAACAACAAGCCAAAGGCTTATCAGTGTTTGACATCGGATCTGCATATGTAAGTATCTGCACTTCAGGTTATTCTTCTAATATCAGATGGCAGGTAAAACACTAGGCAAATAGTTGGGCAAGGCTCTGGGCAAGTGAATATCTTATTGCTTGCCTAAAATCTTGCCCTAGAAGATAGCATAGTAGGGCAATAATAATAAACTAAATATATTACACCTGTACCTGGATTTATGTTATGCTCATTGCAACAGGTGATATCTAATATATAATTCTTGCCCAACACTCAAATAACCCTTGCCCACTAAGCTTTAGTATGCAAAACCCAGAAATGTTTTTTTTAATATTTTCCTTGTAGTTTGTTTAGCTGTTTGCTCAGCCCACCATAAACCTTCCTATTCTTTTTCTTTTAAAAAAACTTAAAAGTGAGAAGTGGTCATGAAGAGATAGAGAAGTGAAATTCTGATTCATTGAATATGTAGGCATGATTCTTGTCTCTCTATCAGAGAAAAAGTTCTTGCTAATTTAAAATAAATAGATTTATTGATCATGAACCATACTATAGATATAAAACCTTGCTTGATGATGAGCTTTTTGTGGCTCACTGCCTTATCCAGCAAGTATCAAATCTATTATTGAATCCAGTAAGAAGATTACTCTCAAGTACTGTCCATATAATAGGCAAAAGAATTTTCATATATCATTTACAAACTGGGTGTGTCTGGATTTGAACCATGCACCTTATGAGACCATCACATCATTGGCCAAGCACAGCACTACCAAATCGGGACGGCTGAAAAAAATACGGTGGATCAGAGACGTCTAGCACAGCAAATTAAGATGACTGACTAATACACTAATCGAGACGGCTGATCTTCATATTCTTCTAGAGAGACAAACCGAAAGGTTCGTCAATGAATGTTCACTTGCTGATGAATCCCCTCCAGAGAATATACATAAAATAGCAGTATATATATATACTTATAGCTATCATGATTCACAAACCTAGAAATAGGCAAACATTGGTAAAATTACATCTGTATATTTATGGTATCATGTTTTTTTAGTGCAAAACAACAAGTATAAATCTTCACAACAATATCATAATGTAATAGAGTACCTGAGATTGAATCAGAAAGTTCAGATAGTGGAGGATTCTAAATCAAAGAAATCTATTTTAGTGCTTTTCAATTCAAACCTTTTATTGTGGCCCTTGTTGATAAACTAAAACAAGGAGCACAGATGAGATAAATGATAACATAGTGATTGGATCATCAGATGTTGATGCTAATGTTAATTGACAGTGAGGACTTGAAGATATGAGGGAATAATGATGTCACTCCTTCTCATTACAGATAGTAAATCCATATTAGTAAGTAGTGGTATATGTAAATTTAGTAGATTTTGTCTTGTACCCCAGTCTTGAAATTGAATCATCTTTACAACAGCTTTTAACTAGGATACTCTAAGTAGTGATTTGGGCAGTTCAATGCACCACAAGAAAGAGCATGAGAGTGCTCTGCTGCAATTCCAATGAGGACCAGTTGTATAAATACAAAACAAGAAGAAAAAAAGACAATGTCAAGGGAACTTGAACCTCCCTTTTTGACCTTTGGAGACAGAGTCATCTTGGATCCGACTTGGACTCCTAGCATAAGTGTGTTCACTGTTACCCCTGCTGCCTGGCAGTCTTCCGGAAGGTCCCCCCAAGACTTGGCATGCAACACACTGGAGGCATACTGCTCACAGCATTAACAGCAATGATCACTCTTGATGCATCAACAATGACAGTCACCCCCTTTGTGACTCATCTGGGGGACCTGGAAACCTTACAGGAGTTAAATGGTCACTGTTTCAAGCAGAAAAACTAATAGCTGTCTAAAGTAAGTATGATTTCCATGATAATAGTTTTATTTTTGATATGTGTTGGTGCACCAGTAGCTTCTTCCACCTACCATATAAATCTCTGTTAAGATGTTTGGTATTTACAGGATGGGATATGTCACTGGGGGCAATGGTTGTAGCAGTTGGGAAATGGGGCATCTAATGGGATTTGCATAGGAAATGAAGAAATCTTTGTTATGAAAAGGGGAAAAAAAATCCTTTAGGTCTTCCTACAACCTGTCATTTGCCCTCTGCTACAAGCATTGTACCCAGTATGTCTTGACATAGCTACAATAGTTGAAGGAAGCTAAGAGATAGATTTTTAGTCATAAAAAGGAATATTTATCATGATGCAAGCTTTTTTTTGCTAATCATAATGAGCTATCACCAGCTCACCTGAGCTCTGCATTAGCATAATTTGGCTGTATCCATTGCCATCTAATTATATTTTAGAAAGGAACTGAACTATATTTAAACTGATTGATCCTTTTCTTGAGCACTCCAGGGGGCTACAGAGGGCTCCCTGATCCTGTTAGGTATATTAATTGAATTTAACTCATTATAAAATAGGTGACCTAACAGGCCTTATGGCATAACAGTACTTAGTCTGTAAGATTTTTGATACCGCAAAACACTTTCCCCCCTTGACCATTGCTGTAGATACAACCATTTTGAATTTCAAACTAGAGGCGCCGCGGCATTGCCCCGGATGTTATCTGTATACAGAAACATATGCCATCAATGTAAATCTTAGTATTTCCCTAATTTACACATTACTCCCACAAAAATCATTTAGCTACCATAATCCCCAGGACTGAACTGAACTCAAACAAAGAATATTCAAGACAAGGCGGCAAGTAAGTTCAAGGTAGCCTGAAATATCCCGGCTTGCCAGACAAATGATATTATAATCTTCTTCTAGTACTAGTGGTGGGTACTTATATATGTATATCGTGTATCATGTCATAAAATCAAATGCGACTCCTTCAAATGTGACCGCATAAGCATATCCTTGACTACGAAGCATCAGGATACCAAGCTGAAAGTTGAATATTAACGGACTTACTCCCTGCAAGGACCAACGTCGTTGTCTTAGCTTCCTAAGAGTAATGATGGGTGAGTAACTGAGGAAAGGTTGGGAGGGTTGACTGACGATTACATGGGTAAGATGGCAGTAGAATATCCGCGGGACGGGCGACTTCTGCTTCAATATAGCACCTAGCGGGCGATCTCAGTCACCACGATGCGATTCAGTTGTGGACAGCTCACCGAATTGCTTCTTGAGAACTACACGATGACTGTTCAAACCAAAGCTCTGGAATACTGGGATTGAGACGCACATTTACTGGCACTGTCGAAGTCGTTTGGCCGTCGCCCATAGGCCGGGTAGAAATCGGCAAGGCGGACACCTGCGGCGAGCTTCGCCTGCATCAAGTCTATCTTGTTCATGAACAGAATAATATTGGTCTTCGCCAGCAAGGGATGCGTGATGACCTGGGCCCATAGATCGAGCGAGTCCGCCTAGAGAAGATGAGCACGACGGAGGTCCGGGCTCCCGACAGCCACATACCAGGCGGTTCACTCGCCTGTCCTCCACAAGCGCCTGGTCAAAGGCGGATATCGGGGCGAGGAAGATGATGGCGTCCATGTCGTCGAAGTACGGCACCCAGCGTGCTGTCCGTCGAGTTGAGCGTCAGTCACTCAGAAGCAGCCTGATGTCAGGCGTAGACGGGAACGTACGTCGCTAGAAGTGAGAGAAGGAGAAGAAGCGTCAGCTCGACATGCTTAATTAACGGCGGCATACGAGGACGGGGAAAATTCAGCAGGCACGAGGCCCCACCGAATATTAATGGAAAGGGGAGCGAATGAAGCCGGAGCCGGGACGTGACACTCACCATAGATCGCTGCCCACCGACGTCGAAGATCCGAAATTCCCGAGTAATGGCGCCGTCTGTGCAGCACTTCAGTAACTTGAAGTAAATGACAATATTGAGAATGTTCTTACTCGGGTCGTTCAATCTCATACGATGCTCCGAAACACCGAGAGTCTTTAATCTCGCACGCAATATGTGCTCTTACAAAGATTAAGTGGGCTAGAACAGCACATGATGATGACTCACCGTCGGTTGGCACGTATCTTGGAGCAGTAACTTCCTTCAACTCGTCGAGGAAACTTGAGTCAGAGTCAGCTTGTTTTAGACGACATGCGTTGGACACGAACAAACCCGATTCCTCCTGCAATCGCAGTCCTCGTCTTGCTAGCACCTCCTTCACCGCTGGATGAGCCCATAATCTTTGTAAATCGTCGCTTGACGCATGCAACAAGGCCCCGGGCTCATTGGGATCATCCCAATCCACCATGTGTTGCGTGTCCAGACTGGCGCGGTCGGACATTGTGTTGTTCCGTGAGTGGAAGAAGGTGCGCTTGCTCGAATTCAGATTTACGGCCACTTCCCTCTCCTTTTCTTTCCCTGCGCGCCGACGAAAGCCTGAGAACGGAGATGGCGGGCTTAAACTGCGGGCAGTGGATGGCGTTTCGGGTTGCGTCGCGTCCGGGTCTGGGTTGGCAATTTGGCGCGTCAGTTCGTCTTCAAGCGCGAGTAGAGGGACCAGTCTCGCGCGGAGCGACATCAAGTCCATATCTGGCCTGCTGTTGATACTTGATTGATAGCTGTTCCGTCCCTCGGAGCCAGATATCGAACCGGACGCGTAACTTGAGCGTGGGCTGTCGCCGAATGCGGGAATGATTGGGGAGGAGTTGATTTGTGCATGAGCAAGTGCATCGAGGATAATGCGGATGGAGCGAATGACGTTGAGATGTATTATCGCGCGCCATGAGGCTCGTTCGGCGCGAAAGGCCTGTCGATCATGGCAGGTTAGAAGCAGGATGGGTGTCAAAGGCGACCACACACCTTGGGCTCGCACATGAGCTGAAAATCTATCCCCGTGAGTCAAAATGAAGCGCCAACATGTGTGTCGACGTACTTTTGAGGGTGGTCGATTTTCCTGCGCAAAACATGCTCAGTCCGAAAGAGGGGGGATTTGTGAGGACATACCTGATTCGCTCTGGCCTGGCCATCGTGCAGTTGTCAGCATGGCTCCTAACCGCCAGCCCCAAACGGAGACGACTCACCTAGCAACAGGATCTTCACTGGTTTCCCCTGCCTCCGCGCGTCCCTCTTCTCCCGTCCGATCTGCTCGTCGATGTCATCTGAAGTTTGCTTCGCCACCCTTTCCTGCACCATCCGCGCCTGCCGCTGCGCCGGAGATTCGTTTGCCGGAGGCTCGAGCGCAGCCGCAAACGGGTCCATGTCACCGCCAACGGTTCCTCTGAAGACTCTTGCAGCCATAGTCCGAGCTCTGGGGAGAGGGAGAGGGAGGAAGGAGAGCCGACGACGGGGGAAGCGCAGTGAAGGAAGGGAATCAGGCGAGGGGTATATAAGGCGCCGACACGCAACACGACGCGCAGGTCCGACTTTGACGTCGACATCTCCGCTGCCACAGCGTTCTGACAGCAGAAGCACTGGGAAAAGATTAATTAAAACCGCGGCATCGTCCCGACCTCCGGGTCTCGGCCGGCGAAAGGCACTCCCACTTCGAAGTTTCGAAGTGGGGTTAGTGGGGCGTAGTGGGACATGGTTATCTGTCTTCAAAACGGACGGGAAGCAGGCTTGAGGAATGCCCCGGGTCTCGGTGCCGCGGACCGTTTGATGGTTCAGTCGCGAAGCTGGAAGCGATAGGAGCACTAAAGTAATTGTATTGTGCCGTCAGTACTAAACAAGCTTAAGTGTAGAAGCAACCCGCCTTGCCAGGTGTGGCGCAACACCAACACACTGAGGGGGTCGGGAGTCGAATACATCTATATCGGGGAGAATGTCGACTCGTTGCGGATGGCATCGTAAGTAATCAACCCAAGGGAGGGACCTGAGTTCACCTGAGTTCCAGGTGGTGGCGAGAGAAAAGAAGCAATCGAAGCCGATCATTGCGGCTGTCAAAGCATAACGTGATTGTTAGATGACGCGATTTTATTTTGTTTGTGTATAGGAACAGGTAGATGAATAGCAAATTACAAAATGAAAAAAATAAAAGATAAATCTGTGCTTTTATCCAACAGGAAAACCCAGAGTAGAACTGTCAAATAGATGTCACATTTATCTGTTGGTTGAAGCTGACATTTATACAGAGGAAGAATCTGGAGACAAATCTAGAATATAAATTAGTCAATAAATGCTGGAAAAAAGACAGCTGTATCCGAAAAATTTCTTTGTGTCAAAAGCAATAATTTATATAGTAGTTTTATCACAGAAAAAATAGATAGATAAATCTAGGATTTACTTTTGCCTTTATCCTATAACTGTAAGGGCAACCCCGGAGGCCTGAGATCAAGGTCTTAGCAGGGGAGGATCCAAAGAGAAGAAACTCTGAGGGTCCGCCTGCTAGGTAGCTGACTATATACTGCTTGTCCGTAGCTGCCGCTATCGGGCACAGAAGGCTGGGGCAGCGTCGCAGGCAAGGTCCCAGGGCGACCGTCGGGAGGGCGTTGACGGATCGGTGATTGTGCGGGCGAGATGGAGGGCCGGACCGGAGTCGGAACCGGAATCGGACCAGAGTTGGACGCGTCTGGATCCGAGGGGCCGAAAGGGGGGTTCCCCTGACATCACCCCCCCCCCCCTTTGAATGCGGCGTCCCAATGCATATGTCACGGATAAGACCCGGCCCGTCCTCTCTGGCGCTGGTGTAGGGCCACCGCGGGCCTGTAACACATAGCATGTGACAACGGGGAACATGCGTTCCAGTAGGAGGAATGCACACATGAGAAGCACGTGACCGAGAATGACGCGTCGAGCCATTGCCAAGCCCAACTCGACACCAGGGGTTGGGGAGGAGTGCTAGGAGGTTAGGAGTAGCGCCTGGCCCGCAAGGGATGTCCGATCGTCCCCCTCTGCGGCCAGGAACGGGGGAGAGAGGAAGAGGAGGAGAGGCCAGGGTGTCCGATTACCCCTTTGCGGGCCCGCAAATATAAGGCGCGATAGTGTACCATGTACTCTATCGCTTAGATCGTCTGAAGAACCACCTTACTCTGTGCAAGGAGGCGCCAGCGACTTATCGGGCCCGACACAACCCGATTCGAACCTTCGACCACTGCAGACAACAAGGGACCGAGTTCACAGGCCCTTTCAGTTTCGATCTACCCCGCTCGCCATACTCGCGGGCCCGACTATCCCGATAGTAGAGGCGGGCTGCTCCTACCGCATCGACCGTCGTATGACACTCCGAGAAGTGGGCACGCTTTTCGAGGGTGTCGATGACGACCATGATCGCGTCGTACCCATGGGCCTTGGGGAGTTCGACGATGAAGTCAACGGAGACGGTATGCCAGCGCTCTGGGGGCATTTCTGTCGGGTGCAGCTCTCCGTGGGGCAATCTCTGGAGGGCATTGGTGCAACAGCACAGGTCACAGGTCGCGATGTACCGGCCGATATGGCAAGACATCTGGGGCCACCAGTAGTTCTGGGAGACCAACTCCAAGGTCTTAAAGCGACCGGCATGTCCGGTGACTCAAGTGTCATGGCAGAGCTCGATGATGCGTCTCCAAAGGTCCTTGTCCTTTGGTACAACAATCTTCCCTCGGAAATGGAGAAGACCGCCGGAGACGGCCCACTCGTCAGAACGTGATGAGCGGGGGCCTCGAGCTTGACCTTGGACCTTAAGAAGTTGCCGGGCCGCTAGTGCAACGGGCTCCTCCAGGTCAGGCTCACTGGAGAGGGCATTGCGGATGTCACCAAGGAGTTCGGAACCGGGACCGGAAACAGAACGGACATGGAAGAGTTCAGGCCGCAGAAGGACAACATCGGAGTTGTCGGAATCGACTCCATGATCGGGTCTCTGAGAGAGGGCGTCAGGTCGACCCATGTTGCGGCCAGGCTTGTGGTGCAGTGTGAAGTCGAACCGGGAGAGGTAAAGTGACCACTGGGCCTGTCTCCGGTTGAGGTGCTGCGTCTTCCTGAAGTACTCCAAATTCTTATGGTCAGTCCAAATCTTGACGGGATGCGCGGTGCCCTCGAGGAAGTGTCTATACTCCTCGAGTGCGCGGATGATCGCGAGCATCTCCTTGTCGTGGATTTCGTAGTTGCGCTGGACATCATTTAAGCTTTTGGAATAGAATGCTACAGGGTGCCACTTCCCGTCTGGGGCGGATTGTGAAAGAACCGCCCCCGTCGCGTAATCAGAGCTGTCTGCCTTGAGTCGGAAAGGCCGTGCGTCGTCCGGAATCACCAGGACCAGTTCCGAGGTGACCGCGTCCTTGATCGCTTGGAACACGGAGGCCTCCGCGTCGCCCCAAGTCCACCGCTGGTCCTTCTTGGTGAGCACGAAAAGAGGGCGCGCAAGGGTCGAGAAGTCCCGAATGAACCTGCAGTAGAAATTAGCGAACCCAAGGAACTGCTGAATGTCCTTCTTGTTTTCCGGAGTCGGCCAAGCGGAGACGCCTGCGACCTTGACAGGGTCCATTTCGACGTGGTTGTGGGAAATGATGACTCCGAGGTACTCAATTGACGATTTTTTAAAGTTGCACTTCTCCGCTCGAAGGTACAACTTGTGCTCTCGGAGTCGCCATAAGACCTCCTGAACAATCTGCCGGTGTTTCCGGAGGTCGGAATGGGCGATCAGGATGTCGTCAAGGTAGATCATGACGTCTCCAGAGAGGATGACATCCTGGAAAATGTCATTCATCATCGTTTGGAACATCACGGGAGAGTTTGTCAGGCCAAAATATATCACCAAGGGCTCGAACAGGCCTTGGTCAGTCCAGAAAGCCGCTTTCCATTCATCACCTTCCTTGATCCGGACGTTGTTGAAGCCCCAACGAACATCGAGTTTGGTGAAGTAACGAGGTTGATGAGGTCGTTCATCAGCGGAAGGGGTACCGGTTTTTGACGGTCATCGCATTGAGAGCCCAGTAGTCCTGACAAAGTGGAGTCCGCCATCCTTCTTCTTGACAAAGAAGACCGGAGACGCCATCGGAGACTTGGATGAGCAAATCCGGCCCGTCGACAGCCCTTCCTCGATGAACACATTGAGCTCGCGTTGCTCGAGGGGCGAGATGAATTACACCTTGCAGTTGGTGGGCTTAGCGTCGGGGACAAGTTCAATGGCGTGGTCCCAGGTCCTCCGCTCTGGTAGCATGTCAAAGGACTCCTTGTTGAAGATGTCCTGGAACTCCTTAGCCCAGTCCGGGATCTCAGAGGGTGGAGGGGCGGAGTTCCTGGCAAAGGCTTCGGCCAGGCACTATGAGACAGTGCTGCCTGCGTGTCTTGCTTGCCAAGATGAGTGACGGCCAGTTGAACTCATTCGGCATGGCCTTTGTAGCGCAGGACCAAGTCCGCGATCTATTTGATGGAGCCGGCGTCATTGGGGGTGCCATTGACATTGAAAACCGAAATCAGCTGATCGAGGGTGCGGACCGGAATGCCGTTCCGAGCAACATAGTTCGTGTCAATGAAGTCGGAGGTGGCACCACAGTCGACAAGCCCAGAGAGCGAGAGCTTCAGCACGCTGGTGGTGGACTCTAGCTCCAGCGGGAGGTGGAGGGAGTTCACCCCAGGGGAGGTGGCAACAGTATACTACTTGGGTAGTTTCTTTTCCCAGGCAGTGAGGCGGCGAAGGATGATGACCGGAGTCACGGGCGGAGTCGGAGACGGAGTCGAGGCGGGGGCGGGAGAGGGTGTGTCTTTCCTTTTGGGCTCATTGTAGGGCAAAGAACTGCATTCATCATACAAAGAGGCAAAACGATTTATGGACGCGAACGAGGGCACACCAGTCACTCGTCGGGGGGACAAAATCCTCTCCGGCCATTGACTCCACTGCCGTCTCCGGCAGGGCAGCTGTGTCCATGTAGCAGGCAATCAACTCCGCTAACATCTCGTCACCGAGTTGTTGGATTACCTCATCGAGGATGTCCATTGAGCGGACATCGGCGGGGAGGGGGCAATCCCGGGCGAGATAGTTTGGGTCGCCGCACCGGAAGCAGGTGCGGCGAGGGGCACCCCGAGCCCTGGTGCGATCCAACTCTATAGGGACGGGAGCTGGAGGCGCCGGAGCGGGGCCACGGGCCGCGGGTGGCACGACCGGGCCACCGGGCAGAAGGGGGCCGGAGCCGGGATGCAGTTGACCGGAAACGGAGTCCGAATCAGACTGCCAGGCATCTTGGGGGCGGCTGATTTGATCAGCTTGGCCCGGACCAGGGCCTCATATTGACGGAAGGCCCGGGTGCGCCAGCCAAGGTAATCCCGGAGGTCCGGGGGGTTATTTCAAGACATGATTCCGTTGTTGATCAGGGGATCAAGTCCGTGGCAGAACTTGGTCACCTTGGCCAATGCGTCTTCGAATCCAGCGAGGTCCATCAGGTCCTCAAAGTCGTCAGTGTACTGGTAGACATCCTTTGTACCCATGTGATAGGCGGAAGTCTCCAGCTTGGAGAGAGTGTGATCTTGCTCGTTCTCCTCGACGAACCGGAGTCGAAACTTGGAAACGAACAAGCCCCAGGACAGAAGCGGAAATGGGGCTTTGCTTCTGTGGCGCTCTGCCCATTGCTGAGTGGGTTCTTCTGCCATAAATCATTTCCGATCGCCGTTGAAGGTGAACAGGGGGTTTGGTCGCAAGACCGATTTTGAGGCAAGGTTGATGTCGCCAAAAAGGGCTTCGGAGTCGCCCTGGACCGGAGTCAGAGTCGGAATTGACGTCTCCGGCAATGGTATTTGGGGTCCGCCAGCATTGTTAGCGGCAGCAGCAGCGGCAGAAGCCTGGTTAGTAAGTAAAGCAAGGGCCTCAGTTAGGCTATCAATTTTTGCCTCAAGTGAGTCCAGCCGGGCGTCTGCGGTGGGAGTGACTCCGGACGGCATGACGGGTGCGGGGACCACAGGGGTGGAGGAGGAGGGGACAAGTGGCAGGGGCGGTGACAAGGGCAGAACAGACTTGTACTCCAAGCCTGAGTCAGTGCCGAACCTGGCAATCTTGTCTGGTTAATCCCGTAGAGAGTTTCTTCTGCTGTAAGGGCAACCCCGGAGGCCTGAGATCAAGGTCCTAGCAGGGGAGGATCTAAAGAGAAGAAACTCTAAGGGTTGGTCTGCTAGGTAGCTGACTATATACTGCTTGTCCGTAGCTGCCACTATCAGGCACAGAAGGCTTGGCCGGTGTCACAGGCCAGGTCCCAGGGCAACTGTCGGGAGGACATTGACCGATCCGTGATGGCGCGGGCTGAGCGGGGATCAGACCAGAAATAGAATCAGACCAGAAACGTCCCTAAATGAATGGCTCAAGTTAGTGCCAAATATGTATATACATTCATACAATATCTCCTTAATATCAGAGTGATTAGTATACCTAGAATGAATATCTTGTATTCTAGCAGCCATGTGGTCGATTTAAATAATAGTTACAGGTGATTGATAAATAAGTTGCATATCTAAAGCTCCATTTTTGTCATACATTTATTGTGAATAATTAAATCGGAAATCTATACAGAACACTCAGCCAAAAGCAGCAAGTTCTTCAAAGAATTACTCTTACCATCTGGATCTGAGTCCTGTGGCCAACATGTCAGATCATTATATTCACCATATGCTGGTATATGGATTGAGATGCTTGGGACAAGTGACTGCAACTGTACACCCCAGCGTTGGGATGGAAACCAAGATGTGCAGATATAGGCTTCTGTGATCCGACCCTCTATAGAGATGTGGAAATTCTGAATAGAGGCAACAGAGGTATCTGATTGCCGGGCTGAGAGGAATGTGCACATTGCCTTCCAGTCCAATTGCATATTGCCTGCAAGTGCCATGTTGATCTTGGTTCTCAGGACAAGGTGTTGGAGGCCTGGTGATGATTCACAGAGGATACCAAGATTGATTGGGGGAAATGTGAGTATGCCATCATATGAAATGTCTGCATCATCAGCTAGCTCCCATCTGTCCTGTACGTTATCAGAGAGCTCCAATGTGATATCTAGTTTTTGGAGGAGGGGGAATAAGGCAATGATTTGTTTCAGGAGAGGCAGTTTGCTAGGTGTATAAGACCCATATAGGATGAGTTTGCTGATACTAGAGCCAGAGCGCTGGATGAAGAACTCAACAACTCCATTTGGGAGTGTCCATTGGGGCCTGAGCAACATGCCAAGGGTAGTTAGTTGGGGAAGAGTGAGATATTCAAAGATGGGGATCTCTGATCTGGTCATAGATTGCTTAATGGATAATGTTTCCAGCTGCAGCCCCGCATAGGGAGTTTGTGACTCTGTTCCAGCCATTTCGACTGGGCCTGTGAAGTGAAGAAGGGCAGGGAGCTGCCTGAATAGTTTGCAGAGAACAGAGAATAAGAGAGGAGGCTCCCAGTACTCCTGGATGTGGAGGCTGGTGAGAGTTGCAGAAGAAAGCTTGAGGGCTTGGGTTTCTGTAAGATCACGGATATGGAGACTGGTGAGGTTGGGAGGCAGGGAAATGATTGTGTCCCTTCTTGGAGCAATGGCCAGGTGCTGAAGGTTGTTCAAATGTGCACCAGAGAGGATGATTTGGTCTAGAGCGGAGTCTGACATGTCCAGTTCAAGATGCTTCATAGAGGACATGCACTGCATGAAGATGTCCAATTTGAGAGTCTCTGGCTGATATAAAAATGAGTTGAAAAATGTGGTGTTTGAGATAAACTTGAATGTACAGACCTTGCGGAATTTTAACCACTGTCTGACAGTCAAGGACAGTGGCTGGTTATGTGCTCGAGAGAACCACAGGGTGAACAGGGATGCATTGCCTGGGACCAGATGCCCTGAGCTATGCCCAGGCTTGATATGTGTCATTATCAGATCTAATGAGCACCACAGCTCTGGGGTGTTCAAAGCAATACTGCGCCAGTGACTGCAAGTCTGAGATATAGATAGTGGAGCACTGCTCAGAGAGGGTCTGACCCGACCAGAGGCTGGAAGACAAGAAAGGAAGATGAGACCAGTGATCTCATTGGGAAAGTCCAGGATTGTGACTGGTTGATCCTTGCCAGATTGAATATCCAGGTCCGCCAGTGTGAGCAGCATGAGGATATGTATGGATAGTATGTTCTGTTTGCTATGGAAAGTCAGCAGGATAGTAGGCTTATGAAATCGGAGGCTGGCCTGAAGGGAAGGGCAGGGAGTTGGGAGCAATGACACTGTCTTCTCAAATCGAGTTCTTTTGAACCCTTGGATGTCTATTTGTGTTGCTTCTTTCTCCGCTGATATCAATGGCGAGGGGCATCAATCCGGGACTCGCGATCGTTTCACCCCAGTCGGCGCTTCGACTTTCCTCCGCCTGTGGCTGTGTCTTGAAAAATATTCCACGCCCGTCGATCACGTCGGCAGCGAAAATAAGCGCCCGCCGCTTCTCTTCTCTCCCGCCGCCACGCGCGATGTCCCTCGCAGCGCTCCCGCCTGAGCTGCTGGAGCATGTCTTGTGCTGGCTCCCTGGGGTACTGGCATACGCACCGGTGTCGCGCATGTTTGCGCAGCTTGCGGCGCGCGTCCAACTCGCACAGAGTCGAGAACAAGCTGGGGGAGAAACGATGCAGTTGACGGGGGCAGCGTTGAGCGCGCTGGGCTGGTATGTTCCTCCCGCGTTCATTGGCTCAGTGGCGCACGTGAAGGCGCTGGAGTGCGTGCTCGAGGGGCGGGCGGAGATGCTGCGCCAGACACGTGTCCTCCGCACGCTCGTCCGCGCCACTCCAAACCTCCGCCAGCTCGACGTCACGTTCTCCGTGGACCCCTTCCTTGCGCCCGGGCCGAGTATCCGCAGGACGATCTTCGACGCGATCTGTGGCGCACTCGCCGACGCCGCCGGACGCCACGCGCCGAAGGAGCCGGTGTTCATCGTGCTGGCAGGCGCAGTGTTCAGCTGTCGGGCGGCGGACATTCGGCGCTGGCGGTTGGACGTGTTTCGCTACCATCCTTCTTGGCTTCCCTCTGGATCTGTCGAATATCCGGGCGACACGGTCCGTTCGAGCACCCACCTCCGCACCCTGGGGCGATTCCCTACTTTGCGCCAGCTCAACTCGTTGTCGCTGCAACTCATCCCTGCAACTACGAAATCCTCGGCATTCACCCTGCTCGTGTTCAACCCCGGGGACATCGTCTACCTCTCCTTCCCCTCGAGCCAGGCGCGTGCCCTTGCTATCTATCCCAACCGCTCCCGCATCCTCCGCCATCTCCACCTCCCGAATCTCCGCGCCGTCCGGATCTGCGACGAGTTCTTCAAGCCAGACGCCCTGCGCCACTTCCTCGAGACGAACACGACGCTGCAGCTGCTCACCTACGACCCGCAAATGCGCGCCGTCTTCTCGATCTACCGCTCCCGCCGCTCGCCCGACGCCGCTCGGTCTATCGTCGCCTGCCCGCCGCTCCCGCACCCCAGCCTGCGCTCCGTGCGGCTGATCACGTCCAACTTCCGCGCGTCAGCGGGCCACATCCTCGGCACGCTCGCAGACTCCCCGCCCCTCCGCCGCGTCGAGCTTCTCTTCAACGTCGCCACGCGCGGCCCGCGCGCCGCGGAGCTGGTCGTCGACCTCGCCGGCCTGGCGCGCCGCCCCGGGCCGGGCGCCGTCACGCTCAACCTCGTCGACGCGGGCGTGTACTGGTGGGACGTCCCGGGCCGCTGGGCCGCGTTCCGCACGGCCGAGGCGTTCTGGGCCCGGACGCCGGCGGCGCTCGGCGTGGCCCCGGCGCTGCACTGCGTCGGCACGGTGTGGCTCGCCCCGCGCACGTTCGCGCTGGCGGAGGACATGCTCCCGTTCCTGGCGCTGCTGCCGGCGCTGCGCCTGCTTTCGGTGGCCTTCGTCGTGCGCAGGCTGGCCCGCACGCGCGATCGGCGGAGACTGGCCATGCTGGGAAGTGGCAAGCTCGTGGTGTTGAAGGTGCCGGGCGGAAAGAGTCGGGAGAAGACCAGGGCAGAGGTAGAGGCAGATGTCCAGCACTTTTTGCAGGATGTAGTGCGACCAGCGTTGCCAGCTGTACCAATGATCGTGTATAAATTGTGGTAATGGCATCGTGGCGCAGCCTTTCGTTCCTGATTCATGAATATCCGCTGAGCAGGAAAGAGCACGCGCCTTGTGTGCGTTAATGGTCCCAGCAACCGTGACAGCGACGCCGGCGCTTGCATTCAGACAGCTCTTCACCGGGCCACAGGTCGGGCGGGAGATACGTTAGGGGATGTTGACCAGCCAACACGGCTACAAACAGCTGGTTAGCACAAGCCTGGTGCGAATACACATCACGCACCTTCAGTATGGTCATTGGTGCCTCAGCGGCCGCTCAGGGCACAGCCAACAACAGCGCTCGATGCCCGTCGACAGCATAAGCACGGGCCTGGGCCGCGGATCCGGCCACGACTGCGACGACAAGAAAGAGACGGGCTGAGGCGTCAAAGAGGAGACATCGTGGGAGGCGCACAGCCCGAACCACGTGCTACCGATCAACTACCACTCCTTCTCTCCTGTCAACCCCGCGCTCACCCGTCCAGGCCCAGCCCGCCCCGGGCAGCGCCGACCCGAGCTGCAGCGGGGGCATGGCCACGGGCAGCCGTTGCCTTCATTCAACGGCCAGCCGGCGGAACCACACAGTACTACTGGTAGTACTAACGCTACAACCCCCGCCAATACGTCGCGCGAAGCCTTCGAGACGCTCGCAGCGCGTCTCCAGCGCTTATCGCGGCCGCAACCGCCGCCGAACAAGCCTCGGTCGGCCAGCAACACCGTTGGAACCCGCCGAATGAATGGCAACTTGAATCAGCGGCCGGTTCGGCGAGAGCGCAGAGCCGTGTTTGTGCGGCGAGCTTTGGGCGTAAGTCGGCCCGCTCCATCTGCTGCGGGACTGGCGAGTGGGGGGAAGAACGCGCGTGTCTGGGAAGCGGTGAGTCGCCGAGTTCAGTGTAGTAGAGAAAGAAAACCCCGCCAACAGCGGCCATAACGAGCCACAACCAATGACAAGTCAACCGCAAGCGCAAGCGCAAGGCTTGGGACGGGTCGCGTCGTCACACTGGCAACACCACCGCAAAAACGGATACCTGGGCAATAACATCGGCTCACTGGCAACACCCCCCCTCGGCGTCCCCCCGAGTACAAAATCTGAGGATGATACTGCCTATGGTGTTTGCTCAGCCTCGTTAAGACTGGAGACGAATCGGGACATACCTCGAGCAAGCCAGCGAAAACTCCTGCCGTGTTTGCAAGCGCGCTCCTCGGCAACAAAGAAGTCAGCGCGTCTGTGGCGGAAGTGATTAACAAGCAGAGAAGATGGCAAGGGCTGTACGAGAGGCAGACGAAGCACATGGCGTCAAACCCACCGTATGCTTGTCCATCGTGATGGCGCGCAACGATTTGGACTCAAGCGGGACGATGGGACTGTTGCAAGGGTAAGCACTCTCGAACGAGAGGCGGTACCGATCGGCTGACGGGCACAGTTAACGGTGACACTCAGGCTGCCGGACTTGCTGTCCGCGAGTGCGAAATTCGAATGGAATGTGAGTCTTCGAATGCAGTGGGAAAAACAACAACATACTCACCTTGGAAGACCGAGACCAGCGATAACCAGCACGGCAAGCAATCACCCCACGGTCCACAATGAGCGCTACAACAACCGTCAGTATGGACCTGCTGTCCGCGCCAGCACTTACTACGACGCGACGATTGCCCAAAACTGCTTACAACGAGCAAGTCAGCAACAGCAGGACGCTAAAATGGGATTCGACGACGCACCTGGGACCCATCCATTCCGTGTCGCTCGCTGCTCGGGAAAGCGGCCGGTAGTATCGGACCTGATACAACTGAGTGAGCACGAAGGTAAGTGAAACGAAGGCTCGATGACGCACCGGACTTCAAGACCAACAACGGGCGCAGCCATCCCGCAGCGCAAGCCACGCCCATGCACCCGCCAACAACGACATTAGCGGGGGCGAAGAGAAAAGCACAAGACTGTGGTCACGGTTCTTATAGCTCGGGTATCCGGGGCGGTGCGGAGCAGTTACTGCCGGCTGTTGCGAGGCACGAGCAAAAGGTGCCATCAGCAAAAATGGAAGAAGGCCAGCAAGAAAAGAGGGTAAAACACGAGCAACTGAGCAAAGAACACATGGCTATGTCCAGCGGGAGGGGAAACATGTGCTCGGCTAAGGCACACCACATGGAACCATCACTGCCGATGTCCCGACGGACCGGACATCAGCCCATGTCACCACGCAGGACACGGCCTGATCACGCCGGTTGCCATGCACTCATGCGGATCGCGGGTAAATGGCTTGCAGATGACACGGCCGGATCCTTAAGCTTGGCTATCCGTCCCCGACTACGCATCCGGGAGGACATGGCGGCCACATCGATGCTGATGGTCCGGGCATGCAGTGCGTGGCCCACCCTGATTGCGCTCGGACGTTGATGGCCTGCCGATATGCGATCCAGATGGGGACATCTCGAGCAACGGAGGATCCCCCGAATCCCGGCGACCACAACATCAGAACACGGCTCGTCACCCGCCATGTGTGAAATCGGCTCCCGCGCAGCAACAGGGCGATGGCCCGCCTGATTCCCGACCAGGAAGACATCGGCGCACGCCTCCCAGCCTCACGCTATGGCCACGGCTGACCTTACATCCGGATGCCTCATACCCCGGCTTGTCATCCGCCATATGTGAAATCGGCTTCCCGCGATGACCCGCATGACAACATGCGGTAAGAGCCTGATTCCTGACCGGGGAGACCTCGGCGCACGCCTCAGCCTCGCGACTGATTCTGCCCACAAGCCAGCTTCTGGGAGTGGGGAAACAACCAGCTCAGCGGGGGGGGTTAACAGCCCTGGCAAGCGCAGGAAATCATGCGCGGCGACGGGGCCGAGGCACATGACGCGAGGACCGGGCACCGGGAACCGGCGAAAAACCCAACTGGGCAAAAAAGGAAGCAGAGAGACATAGGCGCCGGGGCAGCAAAGGGGTGAGGAAACAATCACAGCTGAGCCAGGGAGCAACATGCTGGAGGATCTGACAGTCCCACATGAAAGCAGTTCAAAACATTTACACGTGATATCAGTGTTCTCCAGACGGCTGGTTCAGGAGCCCGACCGGGTCACCATGGGTGCATGATTGCCCACGAGACACGGCCAACATTCCCCGCCCACGCACCCGGCGCTGCCTGGCAATGCAATGCACAATCACATGGGGCGGCGGCTGCCGCGCGCCGCAACTGCCGGGTCGTACGGAGCCAGACATCAGTGCAGGTACCCGGTGCCTCTGGCACCCCCCCGTCAACCCGTGCCAAGTCGGGTCCCGGCCCCTTGTCTCTCGACCGATGGTCACCACGCGTGCAGGAGAAATCAAGAACGGCTGATCTTCAAAATCCGTTATCAAGTTGTCAAACCCTGGCCAGATGATGTTAGCACCGGACCGTGGCCTATCGGGGAGTCTAGACAGAGCAGCCGATCTGATGATTACGTAAGCACCCAAATAGTGAAGCAATATTGGTTCCCAGTGCGACATACTGTAAATATGTATGTTGAAGTTATACTGAAAATAATACCTTTTTATCCAGTTTAAGCACTTAAACTCCGTCTAGATTACTGTCCCCAGAGGCCGATCTGATGATTATGTAATCAATCAACTGACTGTCTTTCAATGACCTGTAGCTATAAAAGTTACTAGTATATAAGTCATGGTAAACATTGAATTTCCTCTCTTTTCTTTGCATAAAATTGCTGAACGATGATATTCATGTCACAGCTGTCTGATGTTGTGATGTGATCAATTTTCGGATAAATATATCTCCAGCATGTCAAAGATTTCAATTTCTTACATGAATTAGAGTTGAACATATTGAGCATTTTTTTTTATCACCAATGTTGGAAACTTAAATTTAAAGAAATGACTCAAATTTAATTAACTCAACTGTAAATCTGAGTTTTGCATTTTTTCATTGCACTTACTGACAATATGTCCATTTTCTCCAAGATAACCTAAAATCAACTGATAATTTCATCTTAGCGCTATTATGATAAGTCTGACACCCAAATTCAATTGAAAGTAAAAAATTGATTTTATGTTATTTTTTGTTGTACCTTTTTTCATACTTTCATTGTAATCAATAATTATTTGCTCTATTTAATTTTCTCTACTATTTTCATCTGCACTACCTGATTGATTTTTGGATAAATATATCTTCAACATGTCAAAAATTCGTATTTCTCCTATGAATTAGACTTCAACATATTGGGCAATTTTTTTTACTGGCTGTATTATCACTGTTCTCTTAAATGAAAAAGAATTAACTCTTCATGTCTTTATTGATGCAAACTCAATTTTTAATACACTTACTGATAATATGTTTAAACATAAGATACATTTGTATTTCTACCATTCTTGTTGTGCATTCTCCAAGACATTGATCATGTTATGCTACCTAGAATCAACTTACTAAGTCTAACACCTGAATTCAATTGATTTGAACCATTTGTTTTGTACTTTCTGTTATACTTTCATCATGCTATTATCCAAAATCAACTTGTCCAATAACAATTTTCCTTACATATCATGTTCCAAATCTGGTAATGTTACCATCATTGTCTCTCTGAAATGTTCAGTTTTGCCTGATTTGGAAATTTGACCATGTCATCATCTGGGAGCCAATGGGTTGGCCTCTGCTTTACTTTAGGGCTGTCTTTGGCTGGCTGCCATTGCACAATCACTTTAGGGCTGGCTTTGATGAAGGATAATCCCAATATGGATGGCAACATGACACTAACACAAGTCCTAGATTTGTTGACACTACTTTAGGGCCGGCTTTCATTAGTCACAGTCGGTTCTAACATCTCCGGAACAAATGTCATGGGTTCTGAATGATGGCAACATCACTTTAGGGCCGGCCGCACTGGATTCCCGGAATAAAAGCACATGCTTCTGACATCAGGATCATGAATATCAGCTGCAACCGGCCGCACTGGATTCCCACCTCTCCGGAACAAAAGCACATGCTTCTGACATGATGAATATCAGCTGCAACATGTAC